AATTCTTCCTCTTTACCATAAGCAGAATTCTAATATTTCTTAGGATTATGGCAATGGAGAGCCCACGTGGGCCATGTCTAGTGATAATACATGCTCAAATATTAGCAATTGTTATTTATTGGTAAAAAACCCTACCCAATCATAAGAGTTTTTTTTCTATATGTTTTACCATGAGCCCTAAATTAGCATCTAATAATAGCAGTCACACACTATTTCAAGCGTGGCTCTTAGTTTTGAGCTGGAGGAATAGTTAAGAAAGTAACTTTGATAATAATGCAGAAATCGTGAGAGCTATCCAGAGAAGGAGAAGCTTCATCCCGATTGCTTCACATAGAATTAGTACTTAGTGCCAGTGCCTTGAAAGTAGGTTTAGATTCTGTGCATGGACTATTTTGCAGTCCCAGTTCCTCAGCACAGAGTGGGGTAGCGTGTGTGCTTTCAGGAACGACTCCTTGGAAGACCTGCGAAGACATCAGGAAGGGGAGGTGGAAACCCTCCCTCTTCATTGGTCTGTGCTACCCTACAAATCTAGTTTGCGTCTCTTTGGTAACGCCTTAATATCACCGTGATGCTCAGTTCACTCAAATTCTCATTAAAACATCATTGTAAATTGGCTTTATCTTTGCTAATTAACAAGTCATTTTTCCCTGGTTTTATGTCCCTATATAAGCTTCACAATGCCTTATAGGGATTAGAAAAATGGATGCATTCTCTTCATTTAATTCTTTCAAAAATGAAATAAACTGAGATCATTTTTTAATAAATATGTTGATTTCATCATAATTTTAGCTCTTTCAAATAGACCCCATGTTATGAAATAAGCTTCTGCATCAAAATACGAAAGGGGGTTGATAAATTCTGTGGTAGTACTTGCATTGAACCTAAGAAATGTTTTTTCATTGTTCTTGAACAGGGTTGTCAAATTGTCAGCCCCTGCTGTGCCATCTCCACCCTATTTTTAACAAGCTATCTGGGGACAAAGGTGACAGCCTGCTTTTCCTTCCTGTGACGCTCAGTACACTCCATGTAAAGACAGTGAACGAAATGCATGTTTAAACTGTCCTGAAGTGGTTAATTACTTTCAAAGATGTTTCCCAACAGAAAAATATTTGACATGCTTTCAATAGCTTAGAACATCAAAGTCTTCAAGGACTGAGGTTCTCAGTGTTTACTTAAGATGACTGAGGAAGGGAGTGAAAGAAGTGTGTTTAATTGTGCACAGCGGATCTGTGGTAAATATGCAATAAGGGTGTGATTGTGGCTAAATCTCTGTAAAATTCAGGGTCTGGAAAGTAAGAGTGACCCTGATGACAGAGGAAAATTCCAGAATGATTTTTCAATGACTTGAGTTGTCTATCTGAGGCTGTACACAGGGGCATGATCCTACCCACTGCCCACCTGTGCCACAAAATGCCTCAGAGGCATAAAAATGGATCTTAATGGGAGGAGGGAGAGGGCCCCAGAGTTCCTCTAGGTCTTGGAAAATTAAATTAGTAGGATTCAAATGTTATGTACTAAGCTATAGAAACCAGTTTTTATCACATTTTATTTTTTTGCCTCACTGAAATTAAAAGGCTTGGCTACTCAAACTCAAATATTAGTTTGAACTCATAAAAGAGTTACAGTCCAACCTCTACATGATGAGTGTCATTAGACAAGAGACTATAATTAGGCAAGAGCATAACTTAATTATTGTTCAGGTTGCAAATGGACAAAATTTGCTTTGAACCTGAATTGATTCATGATGGTTGGTGATGTCCCTGCAAGACAGAGCAGAGAAAGGGGGGAAAGCAGAAGAGAAATTGGGAAGAAAGTCAGGAGTAAAGAAAAGAAAGGGGCAAAGAGGAAAACAGGGAAAGGAAGGATTTTCAGAGGATAGAGTGCAGGCATCGCTGTCGGTAACTGCTCCACAGTGCGTCCGATAGTTTCACATTTCACAACACACAGCTACATAAAGATAAAGGGTGAATGTGAGGAACACAAACCATTTTTTTTCCACATAAGTGAACTAAAGTCACCCTCACAGGAAGCGTTCGGCAGGATCTCAGTAGCTTGGAATACTAACATCCTCTGGGACATGGGCTTCTCAGGGTTTGTTTAAAATGTTCAAGGAAGGGAGTAAAGGAGTGCTTATTGTTATAAAATGGCGCTTAATTTTACACAAAAAGACTAACATGGACTGAGAGACACCCTGCCGCGGGACTTGCATGTAGGGACAGGAACCGAGGACTTTTCCCAGGAAGCAGCTGTATTCCTGCGGGCACTGACGCGGTGGCTTCGTGACCAGAGGCTGAGTGCTGGTCACAGCATCATTGCGGCCTCTTGTACAACTTTTGGGTCTTTGTCTCCAGTAGATGGTGTGCTAACATGTTACAGTCTGGTTGGGCATGAGTTATGGTGCAGAGTTACCTCAGAACTACACGTGTACACAGAGGCTGATACTGCTGCACTGTAAAAAGTTCCCACCCGGAGGCCTCAGGGGAGGCCCCACCACATGTTTTAGTGCTGTGTACTTCCCGTGTTTATAGCAGCACAACTCATAATAGCTCAGATTTGTAAGCGGCTCCATGACTGGCAAGTAGACAAACGCAATGTGTTTATACACAATGGAGCACTACTCAGTCACAAAGAAGGATGAACTCGAGTCATTTGTAGGAAAATGGATGTATTGAGAGACCATTATGTTAAGTGGAATAAGTCAGACACGAACTTAAATTTCACATGGATTCTTTTATGTGAGAAAACCAAAGTGTCAATATTAAGGAGCAAAATAATAATAATAATAATAATAATAATAATAATAATAATATAGGGCACAGGGAGCTACATCTTTTGCAAGTAGAACTAGGACCAAGAGATAGAGGGGAAGGAGAGAGGGAGGGAAAGGGAACATGAAAAGTGAAGCTGTGTCCCCTCCCCACCATAGCTGTCACCATGACATACTGCAAACACATATACATTATAATAACTGAAAAACAATGTACACTCTAACATGTACCCTCTAGCCTACTCAGTCTGGGGTTCATTCTCACCATAAGCAGGCTTCCCGGGTCCCAGGGAGTTGTGCTTACTGCCTACCACGTCAGTAGCAAGGACCAGGCCATGGGGGATAGCCGTGCGGAGCGGGGAGAGGAGCCTGCCTGAATACTAACTTTTCACTTGGCCTGACCTAATGGCTGTTTCAACAGTTAGCTCTGCTACATCCAGGAGGTGGGGGCGTGGCAGATGCCCAGCCCATTTCAGAGGGTCAGGCCCCCGACGGTGGGGAGCCAGGGTGGATTTTAATCAAGGAGAGACATCCACTTAGGGGAGTGGGTTGGCGTGCGTAAGGTGGTGCAGAGGGGCAGGCGCTGAGCTAAAGCCTGCTCTGAGGTGGAAGCCAGCACCTAACTGCAGGGCTCTGAGTGGCTGAGGCACGGGAGCCGGAGGAGTGGCCGCTTGTGGCACACGGAGCATGACATGGAATAACCTCTTTTTAAAGAGGGCTTCTGCTCCTTCCGCCACAGCAACCATTGAAAAAGAGTAGCCATGGCCCTCCGCTATCCCATGGCCGTGGGCCTCAACAAGGGCCACAAGGTGACTAAGAATGTGAGCAAACCGAGGCACAGCCGCCGCCGCGGACGTCTCACCAAACACACCAAGTTCGTGCGGGACATGATCCGGGAGGTGTGCGGCTTCGCCCCCTATGAGCGGCGCGCCATGGAGCTGCTCAAGGTCTCCAAGGACAAGCGCGCCCTCAAGTTCATCAAGAAAAGAGTGGGGACGCACATCCGCGCCAAGAGGAAGCGTGAGGAGCTGAGCAACGTGCTGGCCGCCATGAGGAAGGCAGCTGCCAAGAAGGACTGAGCCCCTCCGGAATAAAGCTTTGCAGAAAAAAGAAAAAAAAAAAAAAAAAAAAAAAAAAAAAGAGGGCTTCTGTAAAGGCATGTTCACACAGACAGCACAGGATTTTTGTTTTTGTTTTTCTCACAGTTTCAAGTAATGGAAAAAATAAACCGTGTTTAGGGGAGGGTGAACTCAAAAGCCTGTAGGTGAGGGGTTGCTGGCAGGGCCAAGTGGCTCATAGAGATTGACCAAGAACTTTTGATACTAGGGATGTAAGCATAGAACTTTTGGAGGAGACAGAATCTAGAAACAGCTTGCACTGCTCTGAAACTTTGAGCAGAATTTTGTTGAAAAAGGGTAGTCCAGACCCTGCTTCTGCAGCTTAGTGGTTGTGTTTAGTAGCTACAGTACTTTTCCTGTTCCTAGCCTTATTTTCCTTACGTTATTGATGACACTGTGTGTGTGTGTGTGTGTGTGTGTGTGTACACATCTGTATGTCTGTACACCAGTAGACAAGTGTACACACACGAGCCTGGCACACACACATAGACAGGGAACAAATTGTGAGTGGTACTTTCATTTTCAACAATGACAGTTATTGGATCCTAGGTAGATGTCTCTTTCTGGTATTGAAGAATTTTTCAATAAAAGGAAGAATGGACTTGCATGGCCCCCAGTGAAGGAAGACATTCCTGAGCACACAGTCGTGGGGGAGTGGGGTTGCTAGCAGCTACAGAGCCCTTCTTGTTGGCCATATGGTCCCAGGTTGCTGCTGCTGCTGCTGCTGCTGCTGCTGCTTGGCTTTCCGTGCAGTTGGTGGAAGCTGTGCAGGGAGGGGTTAACAAGCTCCCTGACTCATGTTACATGAAGTAGCAGAAATTATCAGATGAAAACTAGAATCAGGAAGGGGGAAAAGCGCTGCACAGACCCACTGTTTCCTAACCCGCACGTTTGTGCTCTCGTTGGTGAGTGAAGTGTTGAGTGGAGCGCTTTCTGCGGATCAGCACGATGCCCTGTAGGTGCACCCAGACCCCCACTGCCTGAGCCTGAGCCACTCAGGCTGGCGTCACCGCCGCTGAACAGTGCTGTCAGTCACAGCTTCTAGCGCAACAGCCAGGAAGCCCAGGCTGGGAGACCCGCCCTCGGGGAGGAGCCGCCCATGCTAATGAGCAAGTTGCTTGCCAGAGACAGGAACTCCACTCCCCTCCGTGTCAGGATCGCAGAAATTATGCCCCTTCTCTCACCATGAGCTGGCTCTCCAGTTCCCAGGGAGTTGTGCTCACTGCCTACCATGCCAGCAGCAAGGACCAGGCCGTGGGGGACCAGGCCGTGGGGGACAGCCATGCAAAGCAGGGAGAGGAACCCGCCTCCTCCTCCAGGTAAGCCCTGGCATTCCCAAGCCAGCAAACCAAACCAAACCTGCTCCCTGCTCCAGGGGAAAGTGACAAGGAACTGGGTGGGGAATAGAGAATGACCTCCGCCCCTGGGACCTCACCCCCTGCAGCAGCCCCAGCAGCGCTAGGGGTAGTTTTTGTGGACTTTTCTTCTGCCTCAGCCCCAGGCTGAGCGCACCCACAGAAAGCCGGCAGAGGCACCGGGATGGGGCGTCATGGCTCTCAGCAGGTGCTTTTGCAGGCGCTGGGAAGATCAGATGACCATATTTGAACCACTTCCTATGAGATGGAATTCTTGAATGGGCTCAGGACTCGGCAACTGGAACTGCACGCTGGGAAAGTCTGCCAAGGAGCAGGCGTGCTGCTCACAGTGGGGCTGCTGCTGCTGGGGTGTTTTTTTTTTTCCCTCCTCACTGAAAGCAAACCTCTTAGGCAAAATGCCCAAGACACTGGCCCGTGGCAGTAGGTTTCACATTCTTTTGTGTGTATGTGTTCTTCCCCTCCCAGTGGAGCCTTCGGAAAGGAGTGCTGGTTAGGAGCGAGAACTCCCTGCTGGAGGGAAGCGTGGTTAATGTTAAATCACTTTATAGGCAGAGAGCAAATGCGCTGTGGACCACTGGGGCGCAAAGGGTACCTTTCTCTCTATCTGTGTACTTTGTTCTGTTTTCCAAGGGATTTTTTTTTTCTTTCTCCCCTTAGTGACCTTCTCACTAGCTGAATATTTTTGCCTCCAGTCTTAGATATAAATTGCAAATATTGGCCTGGAAGATTGTAAAAAGCAAATGCTGACACACAGCCTGGGATACTAAATTAGTTATCACTAAGCGCATTTCCTTCTCCATGCTTAATGTGATAATAAAGCCTCCTTTGTTCTTATGTGACTTATGCCCATGTCCTAAGCTGCAGTAATGCTCGCTTTCATTTGTTGTAAAATCCCCAACTACGGAGGGGGTGGAAAAAGAAAAAGGGGCTATAACATCCCAGCTTGGATGCAGGCCGCCAGAACTTCTTTTCCCATGCAGTATCCCCAATATGTACCCACTGAATAAATTCACTGCCAGAGCTAAAAGGGAGTCGCTACTTGTGCTAAGGCTATGTCACCATATTATTTTTGTTGTTTGAAGTATTTCCTGTGAAAATCATAAATCGTTTTCATGCATTTTTCTGTAGAACACTAATATATTAGTAATCTTTTGGCAGTCAGCAGCCTGCAGCACCAGCCCTGTGCCAGCCGTAACTTGGCTTCTACATGGTGGCAGAGTTGCCAGAATTACACAAGCTCAGCGTGTTCTCCAGTGACTTTGAGGGGACAGGGGGGTGCTGGAGGATCTGAGATGAACTTGGGTTGGGACTTTGAGGTCTCAGACCCCTGTATTCCTTAGTTTCTTGCAAGGTCTGTGGCTCTAGGATTGGTGTCGGGCTGCATATCCAGTTCCCTACTGTTTTCTGTGTGTCTGCAGTTTGGAAGCTTGTTGTGGGTTGAGTGAACAAAAGTGGGGAGGGCACCAGAGTCAGCAGTTGCTGAGGCAGAACCAGGAGGCCCTGCAGGGGGAGAGAGGTGGCTTCCCAGGTGGGGCATGCTCACAGTGCGGCCTCAGGCCCACATCTGTGCGGAAAGGCTCCCTGGCTGGCTGCCATATTGCGCGCCCACATTGGCTCTAAGTCCCCACTTGCTGACTTGGAGTCTGAGGGCTAGGAACTTCTCTGGTTGGAGCAGGTGGGAGCCTGCTTTGAGGGCTGTGAGGAAAATCAGGAAGGAAGGAGGGACAGAGCTCACTAGCTTTTTCCTCAAGCGTGGAAGATCAGATAAACATGAAGTCACTCTGGGAGGCACCCTGTAAATCTTGAAAGGGTTGAGACACTGGAATCGGCACGGGGTGGGGAGGCATGAGAGGGGGAGTGGTTGGAGGGCGGGGTGAGATCACTAGTGACCACCTACTGAAGCAGGGCGATGATGGGGTGGTGGACATGACCTGCTTGGGTTGCTTTGTGGGTTCAAGTACTGGAAGGTACTCCAAGGGGTGGGGTTGGTGGCTGATGCCATTTGGCAAAGCTCTTTCCAAAGTGATGCCCAAAGAAAAGGGTTCGGTGGGTAAATTAGGCTCTTCTTCCTTATTGCCTAGTTAAAAAACTGCCAGAGGCAACACAAAATCTAACTTTTCTTATCACAAGATTTTATCTCTTCTGAAGAATACGAACTATTTAAGCAAACTTTTAGTAAGATAAGTGCATATATATGATGCCATTTAAAAAGCATAAAAAATGACCTGTGATTTCAGTTATTTAAAGAAAATGTTTGATTTTTAGCCTTGCCTAAGTGCTTTTTCATCATTCAGGCCTTTTGGAAAAGTGGTAGAATGGATAATTAATATTTTGTAAATAATCTGTTAGTCTAAAATTCCTTCCATTCCATTACTTTATCAGAAGATGTTCACTGAATGCTAGGTTTAAGGAATTCCTCCCACTCCTGATTAAGGCCTCTCAAATATTTGTAGAATCTTGTTTTCATTCTTAAGAGAAAAATAAAATGTGTTGTCAAAACATTAGGATTTGAAGAAACATGTTAACATTAGTTGCTCTAGTGAAGTTGTCCACAGTCAAAAATTTCCAGAGGAAACCACTTTTTTATGAGCAGCTATATTTATAAGACTTTATTTACTTGTTTTTCCAAGAAGGTTTCTTAATATTTACTTTTAAAAAGTAGTTTTTCAAAGAATACTGCATCTTGTCTATTTTTACTGTTCTATTTTACCATTTCAAGGAAAATTATTCTGATGGCTATAATTTTATGCATATTTTAATATTGTGTCAAGTGGCAGTTTTCATACTTATTGCAACTTTTAACTTTGTACCTGAATAGGTTAGAGAGTGAGATCTTTCTACATCTTCTTTGGACAGAAATGTGGCATTCATCATGGGGTGGCTTTGGGACCCCTTTGCGCTGGGTGGGTGGGACAAGAGCGGTACACACTACACACCATGTAGTCATCATCCATGTCCCCATCCTTCATTATGTAGCAGTGTGACCTTGGACATTAGGGCCCTGCTGTAGATTGAACTTAATGATAGTACTAACCTCATTGGGATGATCAAGTGAGTTGATCCATATGAACCTCATGGAATGCGAGACAGTCTGATTCTTTCCTTAAATCTAGGGTAAGAAGAGAAAAACTATTCTTTGTCAGCTGAGGAGCAGTTGTGTACATATTGTTCTGTCATGTGTTAAGTGAATAGGAATGATCCGTGAGCATAACTAAGGTGACACATTTGAAGTTGGCCAGAGTTGTGGCCTGTGAGGTCTGGAAGACCTTGGAAATGTTCTTTTGATCCGCAGCAACTGCTATGCTCGGACCTAGGAATGGCTGCCCGTGGAAGGCTTACCTTGGGCTACTGATAGGCCTTGAGTTCACAAACCCTGACTTTCAAGGCAGCACTGAGGGCAGGTGGATTCTTTTCCAGAAGCTGGTCTTTCTCCTACCTCCACCTCTAAGATCCACCACCCAGCATGTGGAGGGAAAAGGACTGCCCTCTCCTTACCTTTATCTCAGTTCTAGAGCTTTCCCAGTGTCAAGTGGCCCTGGCTTCTGTAAGTGTAGCCATTTATGCCCTCTTCCCTTCCTGTATAATCCTTGAGGTCTTGCTGAGTTCCAGCCAGCTGTCTAGCTGCTGGCATTATAGTGGAGAACTAAGCGACCACCCGTGTGGAGAAGAGCGTGGAAGGGACCAGCTCCGCAGATACCTGGCGCAAACGTCCAAGGCAGAGTGAAGGCGGGGAGTGTGGGTCCCGTAAGCTCAGAGGAGGCTGCAGAGCAAATTCCCAGATTCCCCCAGGAGCCAGGAGACCTATGGTGGGGCAGTGGGGAAGAGAAAGCAAAGTGGCTACTGGGAGTCTCTACAGAGCCTTTGGGGAAGGAATTTGTGGCAAACGTTAGGTGCAAAGACATTGACTGAATGAGGGACAGGGTTTTGAGCACAGGAAGACTGGATCGAACTTCAGATTTGAAAGTGCCCTGTGACCATGTTGGTGACTGTAGAACTAAAGAAACAGTGAGCAACAACAATCAGCAGGCAGAGGAGGTGATGGTGCCCTGGGCAGAGGTCCCGGACCCTGCGGCGGGAGGGAGAGGGTGGGAAGGTCATGTAGTAGGCAGGGTTTCCCCGAACCACTGTGGCAGCAGTGCAAAGGAGCAGTCTCTTGGGGGTAAAACAGGGTGGGCTGACTGAGATCTGAAGCCCAGCGTTGGACACGTGAGCTGGAAACAGCTTCGGGAGGGAGGCCCAAAGAGCAGGACACGCTTGGCTTTTTTCAGGAGGTCAACATTTTTATGAGAATCTCATAGCGTTGTAAATGCTTATGTTAATCGAGTTCCTCTGAGTTGCTGTGCGATTTGAGATTATCCTGAAGGCAGGCTAGCTGGCCCCTGAGTTCTTGGGCTAAAGCTAACTAATGCACATGTTCTCATTTTAATTTTATAGGGCTTAGTGCATGACAGTGCTGCTTGGTTTTTTTTTTTTTTTTTTTTTTTTCAACCTGTCCGTCTAAGTTGTTTTCTGGATTTCATGGCACATAGATGCCTTGTGAAGACTTTTTTTTTAACAGTGCAGTTTAAATGTTTTCTCCATAATTTCCTCTTGCATTACGCAAGGAGGCACCAGGTATCTGACATTTTTTACCTTTATTTAGGGATGAGATATTTGCCTTTTTACTAGATCATCTAGGAGGCTGTGAGTTTTGCGAGCTTGTTCAAATTATTATAGAACTTACCAGACTTATGCCTTTCACATGTAAGGATTTAGAAGTCACAAGACACCCTCACACACTCAAAAGTCAAAAAATGTGCTGAAGATTTGCCTTGTTTTTCAAAGCAAACCTATGTCTTCGTTGATTACAGCTGTACTGTCATCACCCTTGTGTCCCAGCTGGGCTTGCCTAATTTCTCATTACTCTTTTAGTACCTCAAGTCCTATTAGTGTTGGATCTAAGT